TAGCGCTTTTCACAGACATTTTCTCTCCCCAAAGACACTTTACAGAGCATTATTCAGGATTATTTATTCAGCATTCATTCATTCAGTATTATTCATTCACTCTATACTCTGGTGATGGTAAGCTACTATTGTAGCCACAGGTGCCCTGGGGCACACTGACAGAAGCGCGGCTGCCATGCCAATCGGCGCCATCGGTCCCTCCGACCACCACCACCACACACACACACCACTTTCATACTAGGCAATGTGGGTGAAGTGTCTTGCCTAAGGACACAATGATTGAATTGATTGTATTTAACTGACCTTGACTATCAACTGTTCATGGAGACTTGGAGCATGTTTTGGGTTGATGGGGGAAACCAGAGCGCATAACTAATGTTATGGTATGTTAGAGATGTCTTGCATTCGAACTGCTAAAATCTACATCATGAAATAAATTTTCAATTTTAATTATAGAATCAATCTGAGTGAACAAGTTACTTCTGGTTATTCATGACCATAATGTTAGTTTTGTTCAGTAGTTCACTAATGCGTCGTCGTCATTCGCCTTTAAGCTTTCATCATTCTTACCTTGATAGTTGTGGATAAATTCTTCATAGGAGAATGTTTATCCTTTGTGGATCTTTTTGGTTGAATATTTGGTGATGGGGCAGATTTATGAAGCTGGTGGAGAGTAAGCGAGACATTTTCAGATATTTTGCCACAGAAAACCATTAACTGGAAGTTCTGCAAACCTTACAGTGGGACACTTCCAGCTGTTGTGAAAAAGGTCTATTGAAACTACTTTATGCCACCGACCTAGTACTTGATTTTGATACTAAAGAATAGACTTGAGACTCAATACAAGGCTCCTCCCCCAAGCGTACGTCACTCACACACCTGCATTTTTCATGAATATACAAGCGCAGAATACAAAACAATACACTACAACTTCACAAACCTAGTTTCATTAGTTTAATTAGCGGGATGCATAATGATTGTGTTCTGATTGTGCTCTGAAAGGGGAGTGACTCAACATGGAGAGCAAAGGGAGGGGAGACTCAAAAACAAGTCAAAAATGAAAGTGAAGCTTATTAAACTTTCAATTTTTTCGTCCCTATGCTCAAATGCGACCCAGGCCACTTGGATATGTGCTCCTAAAACCGATACATATCCGATCTTTTGACATGCGACTTCAGTCTGAACGGTCAGGTCACATTCATCCCACCTACACGTCAGGCTCAGAGTCTCGTCAACGGAGGGAAAGCGAGGTTAGTGAGTTTATTCATATTTGGGGGGATCGCTGTATTCAGGGCAAATTGGAAGAGTCTTATCGAAACTGGGCGGTTTCTGAAATGTCCAACAGGCGGTCTTGCCTCCAATGTCAACGAAAAATAAAGAGCCTGCGAGCCAAATAGTCAAGACTAAAACAAACGAAGCGGCCATGGACGTGTAACCCGTCCATTTTATGAAGAACTGGACCGTATTTTGGGAGACAAGCCCAACGTTTAGGCGACTTCTGTAAACACTGAGCACGTTCGTTCCGTATCACGTCGTCGTATCCTCCAATGCTCATGCGGGACACTTTTGGGGCATTTAAAGTTCACTCTGGAGATCACATACAAGTCGCATTTAATTGGAAATGTGAACGACCTCGAAAAAAAATTTTGATTTCACACAAAAATCCGTGCAGCCTGAACATAGCCTTAGATTGTTTTGACCTAATACCCATCAAAGCAAACACGGCGATCTAAATAGTTAATGTGTCCGCAGTTTAATACCCGCACTTTAAGCACTTTTACTATAGGAATTGTAAAGTCCACTCCTGATAACTGTTTACTTTCTTTGCAGACTCTTATCTCCCTGGTGGACCGGCGGAGCTGCACAAACGGGCAGAGGAAGAGGAAGCGGAGGAGATGGAGGGTTGTTCGGATGCACTGGGGGATGAAGGAGAAATCAGGCCCTGGTATAAATAACCCTGATGAGGTGAGCTCGCATTGATCCGGGCTGCAGCAGAGAGAGAGAAAGAGAGGGAAAGACACGGAGAGAGAGGGAGAGGGAGAGGGAGAGAGGTGGCTGTTCCTCCGTGGGCTTAATTGCCAGTCCTGTGCTTTGGGACGAGGTAACGGCTAAAATGTGGTCTGTCTCGCGTTGGGCTTGGGGAATACACAAAGCTAGTGCAACAAATTGAGAAAATGCAGTTCAAACACACAAACAGGATGTGCTCGCGTCCTAGAATTTGAAATAACCAAACAAAATCCAAAAAACACTAAATATAACGTTTATATTACACTATATTGTATTATGACTGGATATATACATTGGCACTGGTTGTTGTTGTTGGTCTACAGAAGAGTTTTGCGTAAATAAAAAAGAATAGAAGAGTCATTTCTGGGATAAATAACAGTTACGTAACACATTTGGATCAGTTTTGTCTCATTTCATTTTGTATAATGAAAACAAATGGTGTTTTCAGGCTCTGCATCTGTTGACTAGGACTGGGTATCATTAAGAAGTTGCCAATACAGTGCACTTTCAGTTCGATACGATATATTTCAAATAGATTCGATATGGTTCAATAAAAAATAAAGGCTAAATCATGACTGTGATACAAAAAGTCTTTGTTAAACCACTTCTTGGTCAAAGTTAATATGAAAAATGCCCATTTTAATCATCAAAACAGTGAAAATGTCAAAAATGTGCTGCATAAACAGGTTTTCTTTCTCTAAACAAGCAACAAAACTGTAGCTCTGTAACAAAATAATTAGTAAAATATACCAAAAAATATTCTTGGTGATATATTGATACAGCAGCCCATGATATCGATACTGTATCATCACATTAAACGATACGATATATCGATATTTTAATAATTTTGCACACCCCTAATGTTGATATCAGGAATAGACAGATGAAGAGATATTGTGCTTTTGTCTCTAATATAGTTCTAATCTATGACACCCATGGATCATTATGTTATGTTATGTTTTTTTTTAGTTAGTTCATTTTTTTTATTTCAGTCTGTGTATGTTAAATAAGACTGTGAATTAATGTCAAAATATACCTATGACCGAAATAAATTAAATAATCAAAATAAATAATCAATTTTCTTGCAGTGATTTAACACAAAAAAAATTATACATTTTATGCATGTTACTAAAATTATTCTTTAGGCTGAAGTTTTAACACTTATTTTGTCTAACCCTATTACATATAGAACAAGATACAAGACAGCAGAACTATTTACAGATTTGCATTACCAGTTGCTTATTTTAAATCATAATACTGATCTTAAACTTACCATTTATATGTTTTACTCTTTGTTATTGTAATATGTTGTGATGTGTGAGCTACTGTGTCCAAATAACTTCCCTTGTGGATCAATAAATTTAGTCTCAAATGACTTAAAGGTTGTATAGAGGATTTTTTTTAAGGGAAGAGAAATACAGCGACAGTCCTTGTGCGCATTCAGAATTAGTGTGGAAGTGACCTGTTTAGAAGTAATTCAGCGACCGACGCGTCAGTTTTTAGACCCTTCGCCTGCTTCGGTCGCGCCATCGCTGGACGAGATCTCCAAGAATGACCTCAGTTTGGCTTTGCTCCTTTTCCCCTTCTCTTCTTCTTTCAGCGACCTCAAAAAACGGACTTTCTTTTGGGGCGAACCGGTTGTGGATTGTCGTCCGCCGTCTCGACAAACTTTGTGCGAATTGCGAGGAAGCGACAGTTCGAAAAAGCCTCTAAGAACCGCTGCGTAAACCACGTAATCCCCGCGCTCCGACGAGTCAGTTACACTAGGGAGTTTGATTGACAACTCAACAGCCAATAGAAAATGAGGGAGCCTCGTTTTCTATTGGCTGATGTTTATCTGGCCTCAACACGTCCACAGTTGATAGATTTTCTTTTTTTTTTTTTTTTTGGTCATCATAATTACAAAGCTGCTGCGTCTCTGTAATGATATTTTAATCTTTCACTGACAGTTTGAAACTAAAAAAAATCCTCCATACAACCTTTAATAAAAGAAAGAAATCCGCTGACGTCCGTGTTAAAAAACGGCGGTGCTCGAGCTGACGTCACCGTAAACATCATCAAAACAAAGAGTTGTGCAGTTGTTGGCCCCTTCTATGGATATCTGTACATCACACTAGACAAATCCTATATGTATCACTGATTAAGAAAATAAACTTTAAGAACGAAGTAAGCATCACAGTGGGCGTGTACAGGTGGCGGTGAAAACGGGGGTTGACCACAATGAGGAGTTTTGAAAATAAGCGATTAAAGATTGCTCAAACATGCACAAATCACTCCAAATACAGATTCGAGAGAATAAATGAGAAGCGAAACAACTATACTGGTAGATAGAGACATGCACATTCAACAAAAATTTCTTTGCGTGCTGGGAACAAAGACAAAAATTGTACCAAAGAAGAACGAGATCCACACTGCAGTTCGTTGAAACTCCCAATTTTTTATTTCAGTGACACCACAATGTGACGTAGGGCTGGACGATTTTAAGAAAAATTTTAACTGCGATTTTTCTGGCAGATATTGTGATTTCGATGTCATTCACGATTTTTGTTTTCAAATCAAGTTTCAGCGCACATGAACTTTTGCAAACATCATCGAAACAAAGAGTCCTGCACCGATGATTTGACGCTGGAACGTAAAGCGCAGTTTACAGTCCAACGCCAAATCGTCGTGTAGAGTCTGTGTCGTCGTCACCCGTGTGGATCTCTTTCTTTCTTCTTTTGCACAAGAGAAACAACTATAACACGATTAAAAGCTCTTAAAAGTCGATTTTGCAGAACAGGCCTGATTTAAAATATCAAAATCTGTATAGGAACTGAAAAAGCTGGATGGTAGCGTCTTTAATGGCTCCAATTTCTGAAGCTATTGTGAGCAAACAATTTCACCATTGTTCGCTTGTACTGACAGAGAAGATGTTTAAGAACTATAAAGGAGAGCAGAATTTCGTGCCACATGAAGAGGCACAGTCGGGGAGAGGAGTGAGCTGTGTTACTCACGTGTCCCGCTGTCCGAGTCCTGGAGGAACCTGTCCAAGATGAGACGAGCCATCAGAGCAGGAGACAGATCCACCTGGACACACAGAGACAGAGACAGGCTCAGGTGGAGGCACGAGAATGGAGAAATTGTGCAAACATAAAACATACTTTAAAGCTCACAAGCATCAATTTAAAGTAATATAGCTCCTTTTTTTTCTCATAATAGGCCTTTTTCACAACGGCCAGAAGTGCCCAGTAAGATTGTAGAACTTGCCGGTTAATGGTTTTCTTTAGCAAAATATCTGTGTAAATGGCGAAATCTCCACCAGCATCACCAAATCTTCAACCAACAAGGTCCACAAAGGATTAAAAAAGAAGAATTTATCCACAACTATCAAGGTAAGCAAGACAAAAACGTAGAAGGCAAACAACGATGACGCATTAGTGAACCACCGAGCAAAACTAACGTGATGGTCTTGAATAAAACATAAGTAATAAGTAATTCATTAATAAGTAACTTGTTCACTCTAGATTCTAGAATATCAAAAATCGATTTCATGATGTAGATATTAGATTACTTTAGAATAGATAGATTTGTGTAGTTCGAATGCTTCAGATGTTCACAGATTACATGTCTAGCGTTCGAACTACATAAATCTCTATCTCGATTCATCAGCCGGTTTTACTTTGTGGAAACCGTCTGACCTCGCAGCATTAGGATTCGTTCACTCGACGGTAGGCGGGAACTTTTTTTTATTTAACCAATCTAAAGGTGCTAACTAGTATATTAAACTTTTACCAAATCCTGTAGGTAGAAGGGCAATAACATCTTTCCCCCTTGATAAAATTCACCAAACATTCTCTTTGTTTCGGCTTTACATCCTCGATCTCGAGAATCGTTGCCAACAAAGAATATATGGCTCTTCGCTGATTGGCTGGTGCCCGAACTCGCACTTCTAGGGTTTTTGCGAACTGTCTAGTGTATTTCGATTCTTGATCTAGTTGCTGGAGAGAAATTAAATTGAGCGAAGGCACTAGGTGGCGCCAGTCCGGCTAAATATCAACATCATGAAATCGATTTTTAATTTTAATTGTAGAATCAGTCTGAGTGAACAAGTTACTTCTGTTTTATTCATGACCCTAACATTAGTTTTGCTCAGCATTCGTCGTTCGCCTTTAAGTTTTCGTCTTTCTTACTTTGATAGTTGTGGATAAATTCTTCATGTTAGAATGTTTATCCTTTGTCGACCTTGTTGGTTGAAGATTTGGTGATGGAGCAGATTTATGAAGCTGGTGGTGAATAGGCGAGACATTTCTATAGACATTTTGCCATAGAAAATGATTAACCGGAAGTTCCACAACCTTACCTGGCGAGACTTCCGGTCGTTGTGAAAAAGGTCTATGGGTAAACAGCTCGATTTACACTGTATATAAAACATACAAGCCTAACCTATTTGCATTAGAGGTCACAAAACCATTAATCATCAACTTAAAATGTCTCTCTTAGTGTCGAGTTTACAAAAGTCATGATTTCACTACACGACGAAACGTTTTCTCATTTCCGTTCGTTACATTTGGGAACAGATTTAGCGAAACTCGTGAAAAACCCTATTTATAACGAAGACGAACCGTGAGCAGGCGGCGTCGCGACGTGAAGAAAAGCCCCGAGCCGCGCACTAACGCAAAAAACGCCGTCTCCCGCTAATGAAGACATAAACTCCGCACTGCCTTAATGATTATAGACACGTTTGGCCTTTTTTTACCGGCTGCTCCTAATGTAATATTATTGTGCTGGGGGGACGGAGGCGGTGTTTAGACGGAGGAACGGGGGCATCGCAGACAGATGAAAAGCGCTCTCCTCACTACGGGCTAACGGCAAACTCACTCCCGCTCCCCAATTATGCTAACAAGAGGAGAAATGATCCGGGCGCGCCAGTGTGGGCTTTGATAATGAGCGGCCGGGAGGAGCTGGTGTCTGCCGCTCCTGTTTTAATGCGCTCTTTATGCAGACAGCTGTAGAGTTTAGAGAGGATCATGACTCCGTGTGTTCTGATGCATTGGGTAATTACAGGTGGATGAGAGAGAAACGGGCTAAAGGTAAAATCGGGGCTTTGGAAATGATGAATTATGAATTTCGCATTTGTGGTTGAATCCCGCCTAAAGCCCTGCGGACCCGAGCGTTCTGCGCAGATTACTTACATTAGCTCAGATTTCAAAATGCACACAGTCGCTTCCTGAGTTCAGTTTCTTAAGTCGAGCGGTTTGAGAAAAGGAATTAGCTGAGAATGTCTTTAGAAGTTTATAAAAGAGCTGCGCGTTTTAATAAAGGTATTTTTCAAGATGTTTTGTATTAAAGGGTCCATATTACACTATTTTCTGATCTGTTATAATGTCGTTTCCTCATCGAAAACAGACCTGGAGTTGTGTTTTGTTTCATTCACACATGTTTAACGCACAAACCCTGCACATTTAGGCTTTTCTCAAACAAAAATGTAACAATAACTGAAATATCGTGATATTGTATCGCCAAAAACTTCACAATAATATCACGGGCCATCGCAACATATCGAAATTACAGGTTTCGTTGCTTAAATTCATAGTGTTGGTGCAGCATAAGCTAAAAAAAACTAAGGGAACTACCGTATTTTTCTGGTTATTAGGCACTCTGGATTATAAGACGCACTGTTATTAAATGGTCTATTTTAGAACTTTTTCACAAATAAACCGCACAGGAAACACAACAGTTGGATGGGTCAGTGGAGGGTGGCAGAAATACGCTGCAATTTGTAAAAAAAAAAAACTCCAAATCAATCTAAAAACCACTTCAGCGACATATACAAGGCCCACACATCACTCTTAGAAGGTAGAAAACTCTGAAAAGTTGATTTTGCATAAGATGGGGCCTTTGAAAACACAGTGGCGCACTTCCTGTATCACCACATGACGTCACAAGTCGGAACAAAGTGCTTTCCGTTTGCGAGAAGAAGCCTAAATACGCAGGGTTTGTGCGTTAAACATGTGTGAATGAAACAAAACACAACTCCAGGTCTGTTTGTGATGAAGATAAACCATTATAACATCAGAAAACAGAATAATACGGACTCTTTAAACCCCTCCCACCTCACCCACGCGACATAAACGTCAAATAAACCAGATAATCCCGCGCGCCGGATGACAAGAATAGCCCAGACGTCGCGCACAACAGCCCAGGTTTCCCCCGTTGACGTGAGGGGCCCGCACACTTCATTAGCACCTCGCGGTAATGAGCTCCGGAGCAGGATCCAGGAAGCGCGCCGGGTTTGACACATGAAAAATGGCGACATTACCAGCGCGGGGCCGGCCTGAATAAGGACCACCTGATTAGTTAAGGTACTTGCATCGTCCTAATTTTCATATTAATCACGAGTCCGTCCGCAGTCACATATCCGCGCGTCCCGCTACCTAACGTGTGGCTAAAGCTCGCGGAGGCGGAAACAAGGGAAGTGCTCAAATAATTATTGCCTAGATTCTTTTGTTATGAGCCCAGTGGGACATTGTGTGGTGAGAATTATACAAAGCATTATACAGTACTGTGATTATGTATAAGGAGCTCTGGATTTTGACGTCACAACTCTTAGGATATCAGTGAAATCCGTGTGTCATTCGTTCATTCGTTTTTCAATATAAAACCAAAAATAAGAAAACGAAAAACCAACAGTTTTCTCCATTATTTGTCTCCAAAACCAAAATGAAAAAATGGATAACGATTCGTTTTTTCAGTTTTCGATTTAGTGTTTAAATGAAGAATGGAAAAAACGGATAACGACCATTTCCCGTTTACGTGACTTCTGTGACTGTGATGCCGGACTTTTACGCTGCATACGGACTGAACCAGGACTGATCCAGGTCTGGGACCAGACCGGGACCATACCGGGACCAGACCGGACTCCGAGCTTTAACTCCGAGCCGCCGCAGGGTCCGAGCCTCAGCTTCGAGCTCCAGCCCTGCCGTGGGTTCTGAGCCTCCGGTCTGGTCCCGGTCTGGTCCCGGTCTGGTCCCGGTCTGGTCCCTCTCTGGTCCCGGTCTGATCTGTCTCAGTCCCACTCTGGTCCCAGTCTGTTCCCGGTGTGGTCCCGGACCTGGACGCCATTTCCCGTTCACGTGACTTCCGTGATTGCGATGCCGAACTTTTGCACTGCATACGGACTGAACCAGGACTGATCCAGGTCTTGGTCGGCGGCAAGAAACATGACGGAGGGAGCGAGAAAGCACGTAAAGGGTATTGATCCCAGTTATTTATCCACTCTAACGGCAGAGGACCAAAGACGACTTGACCAGAAATTGGTCATAAGCATCGATGGAGCCAAATCACCCTTTTCAACCCTGACAAAAGGTGGACCAAACCAAATTTCTGGTCAGAATAGCCAACTACCTGGACAAATATTCACTTCGGCGATATCCACAATGACTTGGTGGAAACTCCTGGGCCGTTCACAGCAGAAAAGATGAAAAAACCTCCAAGAGTCTCGATGTGTTGTTGAACTTGTTGGAGTCCATGGTTTGTTAGGATCTTCTACGTTTGCTCTGCGAATGTTTGAAAGCCGTTTAATTCACCGTTAGCGGTTCTTTTCACTCAGAATACGAAAAAGACATTTTCCTTCTTCCGTGCTTCTATTTGTGCATCCGATAATGCAGCAGGAATTTACCATTATCGGGGATAAATACGCAAGGTTACGTACTGTGTTTCGTGTTTCTTGCCTCCGACCAAAATATTTCCCAGCATGCATCGCGCGCTTTTAATAACAATGACGTCAGCTGAAACTCGCCTATACAGTTCAAATAAAAAATAATGGCTAAATCATGGCAGTGATACTAAAAGTCTTTGTGTTTCATATTAACTTTGCACAAGAAGTGGTTTAACAAACATTTTACTCATCAAAACAGTGAAAATGTCAAATGTGTCGCATAAACGAGTTTCCTTCCTCTAAACAAACAACAAAACTGTAGCTCTAATAAAATAATTTTGTAAAATATACCAAAAAAAAAAAAAATACTCTACACATTAAACAATACGATATATTGATATTTCAGTATTTTTTGCACTATAGACCCTTT